TACAAAATTGTTGGCATATGCCACCGAATTGCATCACAGGAGCATGACACCAACAGCTAAGACTGTTATGCTAGGGGTCTGCTGCTTATCACTCAGGCTCATTTGAAATAGTCATCTTTATATCCATCAGTTGTCTCCTTCCTTTCATAAAATGGATATGAGACAAGAATGTCCACAGCCAACATCATTCATAGGTGTACCTTATGAAGCCATAAGCTAAGATCTATTTACTATATAACTACAAAATAAAATAAGATCTATTTAGTATATAACTACAAAATAAAATACACTTCTCACTTGCAAATCAAGGCTTTGCATTCTACAATATTAGGTGAAATCCTTTGTTTAGAAATTCTAACTCATTTAGAATGAAAATGACCTTTATTTACTATTTTAATGAGAAAATTTGTAAATCTTAAAAACAGTGGTGGGTGCTAATTACTTGAAAATATAATATGAAGACCTTTGAAAAAAAATAATTACACACCTCGGCTAATTCTCCTAGTTCTAGATTTTCTCTACAAGTTTAGTAACCATGCATTGATCTGAACAACCAGTACTATAAAGGAGAAGATTTTTGAAGAATTATCCTTACAATAGTTAAATATGTAATCAGGTAATTTACTGTAAATATGAAATAGTCATTCCTTTCAATTTTTTTTTTTAAACCATAAAGAGGTGTTTTTTGGTTTTCTGCTTTTCTGGTTGGTTGGTTTTTGGTTGGTTGGTTGTTTTTTCGTAACTTTTGTTTGTTTTTTTTTTTTCAGTACAAGTGTTTCATAGAGTTACCAGGAAGTAAATTGTACATTGCTTTTTCCCCTGGCAAAGCTTGCTGAAGACCTTAGGACTAAAGCCTTAGTCATAAGGTCTACTGTAACTAAAATACTACAATGTCAAGCCAAAAGTATATTCCCTGCAACATAGGTTACTTTTGCAGTTATGATTAAAACAAATTAAACCAAATATATATATACACCACTGCCAAATCCTGAGTTAACTACTGAGTTTCAAGTGCTTCCAAAATAATTCTTTGATGTTTTAAACTACTGTTTTGCAGAAGTGAGTACACACTGAGGCTCACTATCCTCCCTTTCTTTCTTTGATTACTGAGTTGCTGTTACTGATACAGTAAATACATATTAGATTGATGACCTAAACAGTAAATGTTTTCTAGGTTATTAGTTAATTTCAGATTTTGAGACACTTCTCTTTTTTGCTCCTCACATACTATCAGATTTCAGGAATTTGGGGAGTCTGTTTTTCCTTCAGTGCTAGCCTTAATCAAGACATCTGGTTGGGTTTATTTTTCATAGTATACTGCTTCCCAGGAATATCAAAATGCACCCAGTACAACCTAAGTCCAAGTAGAATGATTAACATTCCTCTTTCTTGCTCACTTTGACCAAAAAAAAAAAAAAAAAGAAACAGGAATCTGCATTAAAAGCTTCTAAAGAAATGTAAAAACCTCTTTCTATGTCCTGAATATTCCCTCATGTTGTTCAGTGGTTTGCACATATGTAAGCATCCTCTTAATGATTACTGGAAGACTTCTTTTCCTCTGTTAATGTTTTCATACAGGCTCTGAAACCAAGTCTACAACAAGCCTTTTACCTTTGAAAACTCTTGACAGCCTGCTAGAAATCCCTGCTTGTGGTAGCCTACAATCCCAAGCCAAGCCGACACAATCAGCATATCCAGATTCTTCTTCTGGTTTTGCTTGTTTAAATAAAATGGAAACAAAATGAAACAGACTAAAAAACCCAGCAACATTAAAAGTAATCATAAACAGTGCACTTGTGAAAGAAAAAATGCTTACTCTGTTTACAACAAGGCTAAACCTGAACTATAGCTGCTGACTTGCTTTAGGCTCTTGCTGTGTCATTGACTGCATTTCTCAGACAAAACCTTGTCATTGTAGAGCACTGCCAGCTTTCACAGCCAAATTATATTTTGGAGATGATAGGCCCAACAGACCTAATTTCTTTCTCTTTCACTTATGCACTCTTGAAAATAACTTTTAACCTATCCAGAAGACATTTTTGACATCTTGACATTTTTACTCTTTGGCATTACTTTAAGCGTTGTTTCACCGTTTGAGATAATTCTTTGTTAGACAAGGTTAACCTACAACAGTAATCATCCATTTCAGAATCTGTGATAACAGAAAAGGAAAAAATAAAAATCTTTCTTCTTTCTTCTAAAGACATAACAACAAAAAGATCTCCCTGGGAAAAAAAAAGTCAAAGATTTTTACAAAACTATTTTTCCACAGCTTTAGCTGCTAAACCACCTAGAGCCAAAGAACTATCCATCTGAGAAGAAAATATGACCTTTCACTCCATGTGTCTTTGTGGATACTTGTAGAGATCTAACAACTGAACCTTCCCATACCATGTCAATATGTCACAAATACTGTAAGAAAAGAAACTACAAGATTGAGTCTTAGCTGATCTTTCAGCCTTTGTCACCTATTCACTAGCAGGTTACCCGGTTCTGAGTCTCTGCAGGATTATCTGGATGCCCAGCATTACAGACCAAGTTGTCTCATCACTGGAACAGAATTAGTCACACTACATAAAGTTAAGAATCTGTGAAAGTAGAAATCGATGGCTAGATCTTCCTCCCTTTACACTAGACAAGCATGGTCAGTAACCATTCTGAGATTTTATTATAAAAGTTCTGTTAGGAAACTTAACTTCATCTCTATATTAAATTTTCTGTGATTACTGTGACTGCAAAATACTTGTGTTCTAAAGAACTGTCAACTAAGAGGAAAAATAAGCAGAGCTGTAGCTAGCTAAGGCACAAAAGCAATTTGATCCAGGAAAGAAATCTTCTGTGATTTTATCAGCTCCAACCAGTTCCCGATATCTACTGGCAAAATAAATGGAAGTGGAACGGAACAGTCTCTCAAAAGTGCACTATGTAGGCCATAACCTTTTTCCACACCCTTAATAACTAGGCTGGTACACCTATCTACAAAACCACCTCTATTTCATTGTTTAATGAGTCAACTCTAGTCCCATTAGAAAGTGGAAATTAGGCATACAAACTTAATACTCCTGTAAAAATCTACAGAAAATCACTAAATTATGAATGTAATTTAAAAGGTCTCCTGTTATTATTAAAAAATAATAATATGATATGGTATAAACAGTGCAGTGCCTGTGCCTTTCCACATATATATTTTAGGGCTTTCTGCCAGAAGGTAAGCCTTCATATGGGCACAAGTAGCCACACAGATACATAGAAACATACATGCACCTCGATTAAATCTTCTTGAGTAAATCTGCATTGAGTAAATCTGCACTTCATTTGTCATCTGTATGGCAAAGAACATTCAACCATATTGCCTCTACCGTACTATTGGAAACAGCCATGATCAATGAATGCCTCAAAACTCCCAGGATAACATTTGGCTAGAAATTTTTTTGAGAAGAGAAAAATAAAATTGTTAGGCTCAATGACCATTACATCAGCTGCACTATCTGCAGGCCCAATCATGACTTTTGCCAATCATGACAGCAATGATTTAGATCTTCCAGTACTAGGAAATACTTGAAAGGATTAAAAAAATTGCCAAGAAAGATTTCTGCACATATTCACAAGCTATTTCTCAGTTACACTCTATGCAATATTTTCACTTTCACTGATAATCCATTAGGCATTAATCAGCAAAATTTCAGGCTTAGTATCTTCAGAGTTAATTTTACTGAGTCCTGCTCATTAAGCAGGGTTAATTTTCCAATTCTCTAAGTTGAAATTGAACATTTAAAATAAAAAATAAGGCATACTAAGGCATCCCTGCCCACTTGCTCCCCAGATAAAAATATAACCTTATGAGGAGGAAAGCTTACATTTGGGGCCAATCACAGCAAGACAAGAAGGAAAAAAAAAAAGTCTAGAAAAAACTATTTTTATCATCAAATCTATGACATATTTTGCTAGTTTTCCACCCATCTTTTCACACTTCTAAAACTACACAGTTGTTACTAGATATCTTTCTGGCTGACAGGGAGTTAAGTGAAAAATTTATCATACGCGACCTGCCCCAGTTGCTTATTAACATCTTTCTTCTCTGTATGATGCTGCCTCCTCAAATCTGCTAGCTTAACTGTATGCTTAACTGGTGCTAGTCAAAACGTTCAGTATCAAATTAAACTTTGGGTTTAGATGCAGATTATTTGACACAAACAAGTTAAGGAGAGGCCACAGATTCATTTCTACCATCAGACAGGAGGATAAAATAACTTCTGACAGGATGTGGTAAAGAGCAGACAAGGTAGGCTTAGAGCTGTAATCTTTCCACCAAGATCAGGGGCAACCAAGACAGCATTTCAGATCACAGATTTAAAGTTTTGAAGGACAGGTGAGAGGAAAAAAGTGCTGGAATATCACAGACACAATAGTAAACTATTAGAGATTGGCAAGGGCTTTAAGAAAAATGTCTTATAGAACTAAAAATAGAGAACAAAACTCTTCAGTTTTCTGTACTACCTTGAGTTTACGGAATATCCAAAACCAGTAAAAATATTAAACCAGAAGGATTCTCACAGGGAAGGTGGCAGCAGTTAATAAAAATTATATTCTTACAAAATAAGACTTATTCCAGAACTGACCACATTCATACAAGCGAATAGCTGACATGAAGCGCTTACTGAACACAGCAGCCTGTAAAATTTACTATGCAACTGAGAGAAGGGCCTCTTAAAGAGACAGTCCAGATACTTTTACTTTTGGGGCTTCCCAATTCTTCCCCTTCCTTAGTCATCTTACAGCCATAACAGCCAGCTCCAGAGCCTGTGAGCTGGGTACATGTAAAGCCTGTCCGTCAGAGCCCATTTGCTTCCAGGTCACATAGACCCAGTGGTCAAAGTCAGGCAGTGATTCAGCACCTCTGGATGACTAACCAAGACCAATCATTAAATGCAAGTAAATGTTGCCTGCTACACAAGCTAAAAATTGTTCTATTGCAAAGAGTAAGGAAACCATGAATTCACCTTCTTGGTGTCCAGATCCCTGCTCTAGCTAGAAAGCTATGCTTCTCTTAGCTTACTTCAAATAAAATTCATTCTCTGCTCATTTCACAACACCTAGAAGTGAAAAAGAAGATCTTATTGAGGGAGCACGGGAAATATTCATTTAAATTAATCCCTTTTCAGTAACTGGATTAGGAGGTGTATGTATGCCTATTTTTGTACAGGAGATCATAAATTTCAGATGCAAGTATCAAGGGCACCTGCAAGGCAATGTTGCTGCAATGCTAACTTGGCATCCTTAACCTTTCAAATTATAAAAAAGAAAAGACAGGTAGTCACTAATAAACACCAGAGAGATGCTGTATTTTCTTTCTCCACAGTCAGCAATCTGTAATAAACTCAAACATGACAACCTGCTTCCACAGAAAAGAAAGAAAAGGTAAGAGTGGAACAGCTACTTTCATAATTTCTGTTGGTACAGAACATGCTCTAATTCAATTTCTATGCTAGGAAGAGAAATTCTGAATTACTGTTTCTCATTCTAAAGAAGCACAACAAAAATTAGAGGTTTCTAGGAGATACTGCAACAGCAGAAATGATACAGCATTCCTGCCGCTTCTAAGAAATAGAAACATTTTATTATTTTGAAGCTGCTGACCAGAGCTGGCAGTTGAACTCAATTACAATTCCATCAGGTGTCAGCTGATACATTCAGTAGTGTTTGAGAGAAGATGAAATACAGTATTCCATGCAAATCATAACAGCAAGTAATCTCAGAAACATGATACCGAGCCATTCCTTACCTAAGAATGGGTTTCATGTTACACATAAAGGAAATTTAAAACATTAAAACTAAAAGATGAAATCAACTTAGCAAAATAATTCAAAAATACTTTTGTTTTAAAAACACATTCCCAAGGAACTTAAAGCAGACAAACATATAATGTGGTATTGTTCTTTTTTGAAAAAGATCATAAATAATGAAAAAGATGGCATCTTGGTTAATGCAATGTTCACGCTGTTTTTTGCATCCATCTGCAAAAGACTTATTTTTCACCAGTCTGTTTAGCATATGCTGGGGGAAGATAATATTGAGGTCATTTGAGATTTCTCCAAAGGCTGCACAATGCACTACACATGTAGCATTTACTTAGGATTATCAAATGCAGCTGCATTGTAAATTAGGAAAAATACCAAACACACAAAGGTGAAGCAGCAGATTCCAGTCCTTCAGGACAGCTGGTGCTCCCTTTTGCTGAATGCAGTTAGGCCCCAAAACATTGAGAAAAGCACTAGAGATCAGTGGGTTTTGCCAGGCTGCTTTTTCTCATCATTATTTTCTACAATGCTGTTGTCCATCTCAGTCATTTTGGTTCAGGGCTTCAGCTTCATTCCCTCAGATGCTACTCCAGCACCAAACAAATCTATGACCCTTCTGGTAATCAGACTTTATTTTCTGTATCTTACCCTAAGATGACATAAACATTTTGTTTCACCTTTGCAGGTTCATCTTCTCCTTTGGTCTTCAAGGCATCAAACTCTGTAAATCAGTTCTGCTCTTGTCATTATAACAAGCAAGCTCTACTAATCTACTTCCCCATTCACTAATGTTCTTACCTTTCCACAGATACTGTTAACTGTCTACAAAAAAAAAAACCAAACCTGTTTCAGGAAGAAGGGGGCTCGGCGTCATAATCAGTGCAGGTAAAAATGTATCTTCAAGAAGTCTATCAACTTCTGGCTGGAAAGGGACTTTTTACAAGGGCATGTAGTGACAGGACAAGGAGCAATGGCTTGAAGCTAAAAGACTACAGATTTAAGTTAGATATTAGGAAGAAATTTTTCACTAAAGAGGTGGTAAGACACTGGAACACTGCCATGAGAAGCTGTGGATGCTCCATCCCTGGAACTGTTAGAGGCCAGGTTAGATGGGGCTTTGAGCAACCTTGTCTAGTGGAAGGTGTCCCTCCCCATTTCAGGGGGATGGGAACTAGATAGCTTTAAGGTTCCTTTCCAACCCAAACCATTCTATGATTCCACGAAATGGGACTGAAGACTGGACAATAAAAGCAAAAATATAGGTTGAAGGAAACTTTTGGAGATCATCTAGTCCAAACTCCTCCTCAAGGCAGGGCTAACTTCCAAGTTAGGTTAGGTTGCCTTAGAGCCTTGTCCAGACAAGTTTTAAAAATCTCCATGGATGGAGGTCCATCCCTAAGCAACCTGTCCCAGTGCTTAACATCATTCCCTGTGAAAAGCTGCTTTCTTTCATTCAATAGCAGTTTCCTCCATTGCCACTTGTGGCCACTGTCCCCTGCCCTGTTGCTATTCACCTCCCAGGAAAGCCTACCTTTGGCTCCTCTACTGCTCCTGCAACCAGCTCCCTGCAATGCCTTTTCTCTCATCTCCTGGCAAAACTATCCCTCAGGCACCTCAGCAGCCTTCCACTCAATGCTGCATTGCCTTGACCTCCTTCTTGTTTTGGAGGCTGCAAACTGGGCACAGCTGTCCCACTGCCATGGAAGAGAAGAATCCCCTGCTCAACCCACCAGCTGTGCCTGGCCACAGTAAAGCTGTCCTTGCTGCAAGGGCACACAGCTGCTTCGCCTGCAGTTCAGTGCCCACCAGATCACCTTTTCCACAGCATGGCTGGCAGCCAAACTGTAGCACTGCTGGGTAACGTGAAACCACATGCAGGACTTCTACTGAGCTGTCTGTGGGAACAGTATTTATAGAGAGTTTTAAGACAGATAGTCCTGTCCTAAGAAACAAGCTTAAACTAGGTGAGACAAGTAGATGAGGCAGCTTGAAAAATCACTGTTGGAGAAAGGCAAGCCATTAAAAAAGAGGTCAGTTAAAAGTTCTGAGGCACACTCAGAGTGAGTATAAATACAAATGCAAATTCAGGAGTTTCTGTTAGAGGTGCAGGAGACAGATAATTGAGAAACTCAAATCCAGGTGATCGGGATAAATAAAGCAAAAGTATTAGAAGGTTACCTGGCCGTAAGGTGTAAGAATAGAAGAACGATTGAAAGTAAAATAAGCTTATGTACAACCTTAGGCAAGCAGCTCACTTCTTCAGTTATTTATTTTTTCACTTCTGAGATTCCAATTAGGCAACATCAAAGATACCACAAGCCACTATAGTATAAAAAGGTCTTCAAAAGAAAAAGGAGTACTGCAGTCTGTTGGAGCTACCTGACAAAGAGGAGTTCAATAATCCTCTACTGCACTAAAGCAATAGGAGAGAGAAGTATAACTTTAAAATATAAGTAATGGAAAGAAATAGGTATGTGCCTGAAAGGAAATCTCTAATTCATCATGCTAAGCTTTCAAAGACAAACTTTAAACAAAATGGAGGTAGCTGAAAATATGTATTCATTTTGCTTGTGAGAAGAACAAATCTCTCATGCCTTTAGGCAGTAGAGAATTATGTGGTCTTTCAACCTGAAAAAGTGTAAACTGTAGAGGATCAGACTGAATAAATGTTAAGATGCCAGTCTCACAATACCTTTGGGAGTCCACTCAATAACAGTATTTTTGAGACTTCTCACACAGAACTGTGTGTTTGTTTAGTTATTTACACCTTGAAGAGTAACTTAATGAAAGTGAAGAGATGCATTTGTGCATTACAGAACAGAGACAAAGGAAATATCTGCATGAGAATACACAACAGGTATAAACAGATAAGTAATTTCAAAGTAAACTGGAAAAAAAAAAAAAACTAAAACAAAACAAACCACACAAAACCTGGTAACTTTCAGATGGACTTGTTGGAGCAAGTCCAGAGGAGGGCCATGAGGATGATCAGAGGGCTGGAGCAACCCCCGTATGAAGCCAGGCTGAGAAACTTGCAGCTGTTCAGCCTGGAGAAGAGAAAAGAGAAGGCTGTATGGAGACCTCATAGCAGCCTTCCAGTATTTTAAAGGGGCCTACAAGGATGCTGGGAAGATGCTCTTTATTAGGGACTGCAGTGATAGCACAAGGGGTAACAGGTTAAAACTTAAACAGGGGAAGTTTAGATCAGATATAAGGAGAAAGTTCTTTACTGCGAGGGTGGTGAGGCACTGGAACGGGTTGCCCAAAGTGGTAAATGCTCCACCCATGGCAGAGTTTGAGGTCAGGTTGGACAGAGCCTTGGGGCACACAATCTAGGATGAAGCATCACTGCCCACGGCAGGGGGGTTGGAACTAGATGTTCTTAAGGTCCTTTCCAATCCTAAACTTTCTATGGTCTTATAAAAAAATATTAATGTTTTCCACTTAGCATCTTTCAAGCATTAAAAAGTTACTTAGTAATGTCTTTCCCTCAATTTATGCAAAGACTTGAAATGCAGAATTCACTGCGTTCTCATAGGAAGAAGAAACCACCTTACCATAAAAAAAAAAAACAACTACAAAACAGAGGCAAGGTATTGGATGAAAGAATAGTTTTCTAAATCTGTAAAGATGATTTCAACACTACTGGAATCCAGGTACAGCTTTTGCAGGTGGGACAAGGTATTCAACATTCAAAAATGAGATGAGTATGTCTGAAGAAGGCTTCTTCACTAACTTCTTGTGTAAACCCTGATGTAAAGACCTGCTTCCTGAATACAAGGTTTCTGTGCATATCCTTTAGGGTAATGAAGGCAGCTCTGGAGAAGCCCCTTGGCTGATGTGATAGGAAGTTTAACACCAATAGAAAATTGCAAAAGTTATTTCTGTGCTGTTGAGCAGGAGTGCTAGCAAAAAGCTGAGGCCCTTGGCTGAGGATCAAAATACATCTTAAGGATGGGATCCAACTTGGTATGCAAATATGTTTTGCCCTGGTGAACCAAAGCAGAAGATAGGTACAATTCTCTAACTCATAATATCATAAAAATAATTTATAGACACTGATTATTAGGTGTAAGACACCTACTGCATAACTAGCTTCTTGATTTAAAAAGAAGATCAACTTCTTTATGTGGCAACCCGTAAAACTAACTATGTTTTCTTGAGAAAAGAAAAAGATAAGGAGGCATAAAGGAGCTGACTCTAATTGGCACCTTTACTAATCTGGAACAATACTTCAAAAAAGAGCAAAGAATAGGCTTAGTCATGCCCTTCTTTTCTTGTATCATACCCAAAAA